ATTGTATTCAATTTGGACAATTTTTATAGTGAAACTTCGGTAGTAACTTCGGCAGACTAAATTCGTGTGGCTCTTACAGAGGGGGCCTCCACGTGGCAAGAGCTGGACAACAACAATGTATGCATTGGTGGCTGACACCCTCGATTTAAATTCACTAAACATAAATAATAACTATCTTTTTGGAAATAAATTGAATGCTAGCTTAATTTAAAATCCAATCAAATTGTATATCACGATTTAAAAAGTAGGGCCGTTTCATCTAGAGCCGTTTTTTTTTTTTTACAGTAGGGCCGTTTTAACTAGGGCCGTTTTTTTCACTGCGGCCGTTTTGACCTAGATTCCTGACACGCTACGGCCTAATGATTAAGACCTAACATGAACTGTAAGCTCATGTACAATGTAATAGCTAGCACACAGCTCAATTCTGGAATGACACGAAACTATCATCGGCCGGGTTGTTATTTTCTGAATACCATAATTGTGAATAGACGGCAAATATAGAACCGTAGGACATTCTATAAAGCAATAATTGCACAATTAAAATACAAGGGGATCGTCTCCAAAGGTATAAGTGCATACAGAAAGTAAAATTAAAGGGCACAGCGTGCCAATATTTTCAAAGTTTTAACTTACAATTGATTGCAAAATATAAATACACCATTTTTGAAAATAACGTGGTCTAGTAATTTTCATTTAAATATTGACAAAGAGATTATGTTATATCAGTATCTGCTTTCAACGTCGCTAAGTAAATAAGAAAGAAAATAGCGTATATCTATGCAACCAGACATTAAGGACACATGAGTTATACGAGGTTAACATCCCGTCTCTGGTTTCTTTAGAGGTCTTGGTATCACCGATCGTACGTGTCACGATATCATTAGTTACCTTTGTTAGATAACGGGGACACATTTAACTGCAGTGGACTATTATTGTCACTGCAAATTAAAACTTGAATATTCATTGACATGTCAAAATGATCCACATTATTTCACATTTTCGCTGACCTTGCGTTTTCTGTGTAAGTCTTTGTGTAGGTGCTGTAACTGACGCTTTTTTAAGTTTAATAAAGCAATCACGCCTGCATCTTGGACGTCAGCATATTGTACATGGTTACCTTTTTGTTTCGGGTGTTATGGTTGTGTTAACAAACTACGTCATATAAACACTGCTCAGCAGACGGCGTACGAAGTTTATTTCTTCTCAGGAAATATACGAACGTTTATGTATTATGTTTTTTCTTTCTTTTCATGTTAACGTTGAATAGAATCGTTTTTTTTGTAATTGTTTATTTTTCGACGATTTTTTCATAATACATATAATCATGAAAAGAAACACACACACACCCAAACTTACAGAGCATATATTCTAGCACGAGATAACTTAATAATCTACACATGCACAGGTTTACATTATACAACCATCATATTCTGCATATTTATTTATTAAAACATTTCCTCATTCTCCTACCCCTAGATGATATGCGCTAAGAATAATAGTTTAAACTTCCAAGCCTAGCATAGTATATGTATCACTGTTCACCAACACACACACACACACATATCACAATGTGTACATGATCATTTGAGCACTGATATATCTACATTGTGGACACTAATACATGTTACTGCACTGTAAACATGTTCGATAATAGCCATGCTACATACAAGATTTGTTAAGATAGCTTTATAAACTGAATAGTAAATGTAAATTTGAAAAACAGAAATACGATACAATAAGTGGTGTTCCTATCATTACTAATTAAAAACAACACGCAGTGAAGAATAGAAAATAGACAAATATCTTCGTGTCTTCCTCCGTCTTTTGTTTCAGCAATTAGGCAGGCATTGTGTGTAGACATTACTGTATTAAATGTAGTTTGTTTGTTACAAATGTTTTACTAGAAATCATAATATATCGGATAGATGTTAATCAGTGTTTGGGCAAAAACCTATGTTGAACTTTTATGTGAGGACATTATCTGAGAGGGGATGTACAATGTATCGTAGTTGTTTATACTAGAAATCAACATATATCGTATAGATGTTAATCATCATTTGGGCGAAAACATATGTTAAACATTGCTAGAACGGAACGTTACTAGAACGGTACTAGAAATGACCGGTACTAGAACCGAACTAGAAAGGAACGGTACTAGAACAGAACGGTACTAGAATAGAACGGTACTAGAATGGAACGAAAACATCCAGAAGGCAGCAATAGTCTGATGGAGGTAACTAACTCTTGTTGATGGTACCTATCAAATTTGGTATTTGATACAGTATGCCAAAAAGGAACTCCCAATCCATCAAAGAGGACAACAACAGAAATCCACATATTATCAGAGTAGAAACCTGGTCCACATATAACCAGAGTAGAAACCTGGTCCACATATTATCAGAGTTGAAACCTGGTCCACATATTCTCAGAGTAGAAACCTGGTCCACATATTATCAAGAGTTGAAACCTGGTCCACATATTCTCAGAGTAGAAACCTGGTACACATATAACCAGAGTAAAAACCTGGTCCACATATTCTCAGAGTAGAAACCTGGTCCACATATTCTCAGAGTAGAAACCTGGTCCACATATTATCAGAGCAGAAACCTGGTCCACATATTATCAGAGCAGAAACCTGGTCCACATATTATCAGAGCAGAAACCTGGTCCACATATTATCAGAGCAGAAACCTGGTCCACATATTCTCAGAGTAGGAACCTGGTCCACATAATCTCAGAGTAGAAACCTGGTCCACATGTTATCAGAGTAGAAACCTGGTACTCCAGTATAGCTTATATCCATGTGAAAGAGTTTTGATGTCTGTCACGAAATAAGGAGACATCGGAGGTCATCAACGACCTTTGACACAAAGAACGGTAATAAGGTTCGATAAGTGTTTCATTTGACGGACATATGTTTGTAACTTAGATAGAAAATAGGCAACAATTAACTTATATATGACCGAATGTTAATAGAACTATTTATTCATCGGCGACTGAAACTCGTATTTAACTCTATTATCTAACTCTCTTTTGTACATTTATTAAATATTAAAAAAAGGTCTAGTTCATGGTGTCCCTCCCCCGTGAAGTGTCCCGATCTCGCTGATTGGTACGGATTAGGACAAGAATATTGATCACCCATACAAAATAAACAAGTCTGTACTCCAATAAGGAAATTTATCATGTATAATGGCACGCGTTTGAAAATGTTGATCATGGGGAGGTCCTCGCCTTTTAGCCTATGTCGTCGGTGTGGTGAGATTGTGCTAGGCGTTGTCTGGTAGTCAAGACTTGAGTTGTGTTAACGCGTGGGGACAGGTCATTATTGGCAGTGGCAAAGCAAAACATTCACGTAACACAATAGCACTGTATTTACACAAGGTAGGTGTGTACGGGTAGGCGGGATCACTATTGACAACGCCATGGCATCACAAGACAGATACAAAGAGGTCATTATTCATCACGCTTCAGTAAAACAAGTTCTTCAGTTCTTTTAAACGTTTGAAATGGAAAATCTTTAGAAAAGAGACGCACGAACATGCTAAATAAAGTGGTGCCGAGCATGTACAATTATAAACGAAATTAATGCAGAATTGTAAAAGACCCTTGTAATAGATGCCTTTTTGGAAAGGACTGTCGGTCTGTGTTTATACATGCCGGTACATAAGTTCTGTGTTAATGTAACAGGACGGGTAGTATCATGACTAAAATAAATGGCGCCAAAACTGTGGACGCAGTTAGAAGTAGAAGTCCGTAGTAAACACATAGAACATTGGAAATCAAGACGGATAAGACATAGTTATACCCCATACACATACAAACAACACCAGAGACATGGTGTCATAAAAGCAGAAGACAGAAAACGTTTCTGTACCATGCCCCGTACACATAAATACACATATGACATTTGAAACAAAAGAAAAAACAAACAAACAATAAGACGTTCTTAAAAACTGAACCATATAAAAAAACGGCCGAGAATGAAGAAAGAAAAACATAAATATAGCACAGTCGGATTTGGAAACCACACCTTTTAGTTATAACCCGTACATCAGGCAAATGACGGCTTAGTCATATGGACTGTCTCGATCACAAACACATTCCTCAGGTTTTGTTCACCTTTAAATAGATCTGCCTAGATCCCATATCTGAGTACAGACTCGCCTGTAATCAATCAGTATCATAAAAAGAAGGTCATCACGAAAAGTCATTGTGGTGGGACGATACATAAGTAAACAACTATAGCTTTCCTGTCCCCCCTACGGTTACACGTAGCCGGCGATGAGAAAATATAATCGGTAATGCATACTTGTCTGACCTTATACATTTGGAATGTATCATTGGACATAGATAGACATTGTTCCGACCTGATGGAAACTAAAAAATAAATCAAAATCTCTATCACATTACTGCTCACACAACAAACGCGACCACCTTAAGGGTATATGGGGGTTTCATAAAGCCCCGGATGTAGAAAGTGTCCATTTAAACTTTTGAAAACAAATATTAAAGGTACGAAAAACTACATGTAATGATTTAATATACTGTGAGTTGGGAAGGTTACATTTGTTCGTAAGTAGAAAATTAAGAGTGTTTAAACATTGGTTGAAATAGAAGCAGACGGATAATTTGATTTTGAAAACATGTTACGATGAGTGTGTGACTGAGAATGATTTGTGGGTAAGAAATATTAAGACTGAGTTAGCAACCTTAGAACTTAATTACATGTTTTACTCTTCATTACCATTTAGTAATGTTTCTTTTAAATAATAGAACAGAGACTGATAGATACTTCCAAACAAAGCATATTGTCAAAAGTATCGGCTTCTCCTCCGAACATAATCCGCACACCGCTAGCTTCTCCTCCGAACATAATCCGCACACCGCTAGCTTCTCCTCCGAACATAATCCGCACACCGCTAGCTTCTCCTCTGAACTTAATCCGAACACCGCTAGCTTCTCGTCGGAACGTTTACATTCAGGAACAAAAGAAACAATTTGACTAAAAACACATGCTTTATTAATCTAGAAAAAATTGTCGCCTTAACGTATTCGCCAACAAGAAAAGTGTCAGAAATATAAGCATCACACTGAACAGTACACACGAGATTAGCGGCCCCAGTGTCTTGAATGGTGATTAAATAAAGATTATAATGAGAAAGTATCACTCGAATTCTAAAATATCTTTCTAAGGCAAAATAATAAGTTAGGGGATATCTGTAAGTTGAGGATGGTTCGTGACAATGGGGCCGCCGTCTACTAGCAGTCAGTCCACGTCTTCTCATTGTTTTCAGCAGATAACAGAATTTCACTCTCCTCCAGACATTGATCGTTCCAGAGTTTGAGGAGAAGTTCCGGTCCCACCCGGTGTACCGTCACTAAGTTGTCACTCTTATAAACTTTACTGTTAATGGGAGACACAATATTGCTATTAAACCCCTCAATCAGATGGAGACTTTTACCGATCCTCTCGACACACAGCGACACAAACACATCTTCCAGATAGAAGAATGGTAAATGTTTTGATACCTTGAAAACCTCTTTCACCATGGCCATACTTGTGACGTAACCGGTCCCGGCACAGTAACCAGGGTAACTTTTTCTGGGATAATACTGGTACGACACGAACCACTTAGACGTTTTGTCTCGTACTGGGTCTGCTTCAGGCATACACTTCCCTCCTATTGCTGACTGAAGTTGTTGAGAGTTATCCCCGATAGCCTTCCTTAAACCAGGCATATTAACGTACATGTCGTCATCTGTCTTCATCAGGTACTGCGCATGCGCACAGTGTGTGGAGGCCCATTTAAAAGCCATCATTGTTTTGATTGTCAAATTTATGTATGAATCTTGGAAGTCTTCCTGAAGAATGTCGTCGTATATTTTACTTTCCTCCAATAAAGCGGCGTTGGCCTCCGTATCATTCAGGTTACCGAATATAAAGGCGTAACGGACATCAGCAGTGTTATTTTTTGTATATGTAAGCCAGGTCTTTCTATACGTGTCTCTTTGAGCTCGGCCTTTGTGGATACTGGCAATGAGGATTAGTGTGTGTATCTCTGGAGAAACAGAACTTGTTTTACAAACTTTATCACTGTTGATGAGAATTTTGAAATCATGAGAGTTACAGTTGTAGCATTGTTCAGGTCGATATCGGAGCGCCTCGCTTTGGTTGTAAACTGGAGTGACGTATCTTGATTTATGTAGTCTTGGTATTTGAATGAGGACCACCATGAATGTCATGAAACAGATTACGAATAAAAGATGTCGGGGGCTTGCCTTCCTCTGTATCTGAGAACACACGATCACCCATCCCTTCTTGATCATGCCGTTCATGTCGGCCATATTGAATATTTAAGTCAACGACAAGTTTCCCGCAAACTAAAAAAGCTTGGTCCAAATATAGCTCCACTTAGAATGTATCAGTATAAAACCAGTTCATGCAGAATGTTTGTAGACCTGTCTGAGGTCTGAATATTATTACGTATCAGGTTAAAATGCCAAGAACTAGTGAAGTGTTGGGGGTCCTTCTGACACCATTGTTATTCTTGGAGGTCACGATGAACCTGAAAAATACAAAAATATAGATTTTAGTGTTTGTAATAACGCAAAATAATAACCCGATACATGCACATTGATTACTCCTGCCTACACCCACTCAGTTCTAGACTACTTTTATTTAAAGGTCACATTTTAAACTCCCAATTTTGGTAATTTCCATTGCAAACTGGTCTGTTTTGAAAAAAAAAGTGTAAAAAAAACAAAACATTCCGGGATGGCTTCCCTAATACTTACGCAAAAGTCACATTACTGATTGATAGATAGCGGTTATAGATGATCGATTGTAAATATGTTAGTAATTTCATTTTCCTCCGAAATTGATAAGTAATTTCATGTTCCTCCGAAATTCATAAGATACTTGAATAAGTGAATTATAATGATTCGTGAGACGCTCAGTGCTTGTCTAGTTCACTTGTGACAGAGTTTAAATTATTTGAACACTTTACATGTTCTGGTAAGTTATTGATTACGATGTACCGCTTCGGTTCGTACATGTGGCAGTAACTATATTTTCTTTTCACAATTGTACACTGCTAGAAAATAGTTTCAGAACATTTCCTCTGTTACCAGATTACTGCGATAAAACATGACATGATTTCAATAAACCAGCGACTTATTTTTCGTATTATCGAGGAATTAACATTTCTCATCATTGTCTTCTGTATGGTTGAGACAAGACTGACGAAGATGACATGGTTTTTTCACTTACACAACTCCTTCCAAACTAATCTGTACTTACACATTTCAATGTAATGTTATCTGTATGTACCTCTATGTTGGACGAGGATATCATCACACCTACAAGGACAGATGTTACCCGCACTTTTGGTTATTGTTCAGATCACAATTGAACTACAGGTAATGAACTGAACAGAGGTACCAGTTTCACTGTCTATTTAGTTATGTGTAACAAAAAAAATGAAACATATGTATATATTTACGTGAATTGTTTAACTGTTTATATATTTAAGGATTGTTTGACTAGTTTTATTTGTAAGGATTGTTAAGCTATTTATGTTTGTAAGGATTGTTGACGTATTTATATTTGCTAAGTTATTTATATTTTTAAGGATTGTTAAGCTATTTATATCTGTCAGAATTGTTAAGCTATTTATATTTGTAAGGATTGTTAAGCTATTCATATTTGTAAGGATTGTTAAGCTATTTATATTTGTAAGGATTGTTGACGTATTTATATTTGTAAGGATTGTTAAGCTATCTTTTTGTAAGGATTGTTAACTACCTATGTTTGTAAGGATTGTTAAGCTATTTATATTTGTAAGAATTGTTAAGCTATTTATATTTGTAAGGATTGTTAAGCTATCTGTTTGTAAGGATTGTTAACTACCTATGTTTGTAAGGATTGTTAAGTTATTCATATTTGTAAGGATTGTTAAGCTATTTATATTTGTAAGGATTGTTGACGTATTTATATTTGTAAGAATTGTTTAGCTATTTATATTTGTAAGAAATGCTTAGCTATTTATATTTGTCAGTATTGTTTAGCTATTTATATTTGTAAGGACTGCATAGCTTTTTATATTTTTCAGAGTTATTTAACTATTTATATCTGTCAGAATTGTTAAGCTATTTATGTTTGTAAGGATTGTTAAGTTATCTATGTTTGTAGGGATTGTTAACTACATGTGTTTGTAAGGATTGTTAAGCTATTTCTGTTTGAAAGGATTGCTTAGCTATTTATATTTGTAAGGATTGTTTAGCTATTTATATTTGTCAGTATTGTTTAGCTATTTATATTTGTAAGGACTGCATAGCTTTTTATATTTTTCAGAGTTATTTAACTATTTATATCTGTCAGAATTGTTAAGCTATTTATGTTTGTAAGGATTGTTGACGCATTTATATTTGTAAGAATTGTTTAGCTATTTATATTTGTAAGAAATGCTTAGCTATTTATATTTGTCAGTATTGTTTAGCTATTTATATTTGTAAGGACTGCATAGCTTTTTATATTTTTCAGAGTTATTTAACTATTTATATCTGTCAGAATTGTTAAGCTATTTATATTTGTAAGGATTGTTAAGTTATTTATATTTGTAAGGATTGTTAAGCTATTTATGTTTGTAAAGATTGTTGACGTATTTATATTTGTAAGAATTGTTGAAGTAATTATATTTGTAAGGATTGTTAAGCTATCTGTTTGTAAGGATTGTTAACTACCTATGTTTGTAAGGATTGTTAAGCTATTTATATTTGTAAGAATTGTTAAGCTATTTATATTTGTAAGGATTGTTAAGCTATTTATGTTTGTAAAGATTGTTGACGTATTTATATTTGTAAGAATTGTTGACGTAATTATATTTGTAAGGATTGTTAAGCTATCTGTTTGTAAGGATTGTTAACTACCTATGTTTGTAAGGATTGTTAAGCTATTTATATTTGTAAGGATTGTTAAGCTATTTATGTTTGTAAGGATTGTTGACGTATTTATATTTGTAAGAATTGTTTAGCTATTTATATTTGTAAGAAATGCTTAGCTATTTATATTTGTCAGTATTGTTTAGCTATTTATAAATGTTAGAATTGTTAAGCTATTTATGTTTGCACGTATAGTTTTACTCTTTACAATTTTGTGAATTGTTTAACCATTGTATCAGTAATTATTGTTTATACTATTTATATTGTCGTGAATTGTTGAACAATATATATTGTTGAAAGAAGTATTTTACTGTTTGAATTGTTATGAATTATTTAACCATCTATATGTGGTAGTATTCTGTAATTGTTTTTATTTTGAAGAATTGTGTAGAATTTGTTTAACTTTTTATATTGTTATGAATAGTTGTGTAATCATTTATATCTGTAAAGATTGTTCAAACGATTAATATTGTTGTAAATTGTTTAACTATCAATACTGTGTTAAATTTGTTAAACCTTGTTTATCACATAACTGAGCCGTTTTACTATGTCGTACGGCCATGTCATAAATATGGTATTACACACGTGTAATAANCATATTTGTAAGGATTGTTAAGCTATTTATATCTGTCAGAATTGTTAAGCTATTTATATNCCATCTATATGTGGTAGTATTCTGTAATTGTTTTTATTTTGAAGAATTGTGTAGAATTTGTTTAACTTTTTATATTGTTATGAATAGTTGTGTAATCATTTATATCTGTAAAGATTGTTCAAACGATTAATATTGTTGTAAATTGTTTAACTATCAATACTGTGTTAAATTTGTTAAACCTTGTTTATCACATAACTGAGCCGTTTTACTATGTCGTACGGCCATGTCATAAATATGGTATTACACACGTGTAATAAAGACTAAAGGTGCTGCGATTTGTCAAAACGGTGGGGACATTTATTCCTACGTTGTTTTAATAAACCACATGACACGTTACTGCTATTTTAAATTAATCTGAAATGCTCGCTATGTCATTATTATTTGCATTGCATCTAAAACTGTTCATTAAATAAAATCTGGAACCACTTTGCACTGCGCGGAACGACATTACTATGATGACAGTACTTTGGTGTTTACCTATATAGAGTCAGATGATAACACATAAATGTGTTTGAATTTTGTTTCTTCAAATTATGAATGTTATGTGATAAAAATATCATGTCTTATTAAACTCGTTCAATAATTTAACGCCTAAAAACTCGTGTCATATCTAATTATTGAACTCGTCAAGTAAATCCAATAACACATGGATACTCGTTTAAGATAATATGTATATCTGTAAGGATTGCTCGACTCTTTGTACTGTTATAGTTGTTAGCCATTTTAATTGCAAGGAATGTTTATCTAGGCAGTGACAACCTGAAATTGAGTTGTTAATGTCAAAAAATCCCCATTTAATACGAAGATCATACGTCACAAACATTTATATGATAAATAAATAAATATTTATTAATTTCAAAGACTTCTCCTGCAGAGGTACAAACTCCATCATACGTAACACACACTTGTGTAATAATTTAAACACCGTTCGTACGAGAAGGATCTGTAGAAAACGTAGAATTTTTTAAATATTGGCTTAAACTTAGAATTTCGGACAATTGCAATTTAAGGTTGTACACCTCTGAGAAGTCAAAAAATTCCTGTATAAAACATTTTTTCTTATATGGATTTTTGGAAAAAGGAGTTAATGGCATAGTAGACAAGAGGCCCAAGGGCCTTAGCGGTCACCTGAGTTATATCATAGATACTGGTAGCTTTATTTTATTGTTTAGATGTGATGTGGAAATCAGCATGTAAACTAAGTGAAATACAATACTTGTCATGTCATCAATGGATAAGAATTTGAAAATATTGGTAAATGTTCCCTTTGGGGCCCCGCCCTAGCCCCTGGGGATGGGGCAGGAATCCTAATTTTACAAAGTAAAACTCTCATTTACCCAAGATGATTCTGACTAAGTTTGAGCAATTTTCTGCTGAAAATGGATAAAATATATACCGAAAAGTGTTATTTCCCTATATNTTTTCATTTAAATTATGGAAGTAAAATTTCTTAATCTTAATTTTTTAACTCAGAAAGCCGATTTTAGTTACCCCTACCCCCTGTTTTTTAATGAAAAAATACTCATTTTTTTACCATTTTTTGCAGATTAAACGCTTGATATAAAAAGTTCTGCTATTAAACTGTTTTGAATATTTAATGAAGTAAATGAAAATATGTTTCTCTTTCTAAAGCATCCACAAAAAAGGGGGGGGGGGGGGGGGGGGCAGTGTGCTTCTTTTTTTGTCCCATTGTAATTTTCGACTCTGTTGCATCTTATTTTTATCATATTGAACATTATAAACTTGTACAGCAAAATTGAACCTGCTACAATTAAAAATGGCGACACAATGACAATTTAAGTGATCAATCTTGTGTCAAAAAAGATGAAATGTTTGCCTTTTTTGAAGCGCAAGAAATACACATTAATACACATTTTCAAAATGGCCGCCGAATTGGTAATTGTTTTAAATTACAAAAACCCGTTTCACCAGATCAAAACGAGACTTTAACGTGATTGAAACATCAGAAGA